CTCCCCCCTTCCCTCCCTCCCTCCCTTCCACTCTCTCTAAAAAGCAATGGGAAAAACATCCTTGGGTAAGGATTAAAAACAAACAACAAAACAAAACACAATAAAACAAAACAAAAAAACCTTTATCCTAATTGGTTTCTCTGATACTTAGATTTTCCTTCTTTGGGAAACGCCTTCAGAGGGAAATTTTATCCAGGCAGTTTATATGAATTTTAGGGCTCACATCTCCCAAGGTACTTCATCTTGGCTCATTGCCTTAAGCAAATGGTTCTCAACTGGACTGGGCTTAACTTTCCCCACAGGGGCAATGTCTGGAGATATATTTTATTGTCATAACTGGAGGAATATTTCCAGCATCTTGTGAGTAGAGTCCAGGAATGATGCTAAACATCCTATAAAGCACAGGACTGGCCCATATGACAAAGAATTAGCTGGCCCAAAATGTAAACAATGCCAGGTTTGGGACACCCTGACTTAATCTGTCTGTATCATGTCCCATAAGCATATGGGGCTACACACAAATGTGGTCCAGAGCATGCTATACCTCCTCTTTCTCGATGATTATTGGAGAGACACTCAACATCCCTCCATCTGACTAACTCACTAGTGGGTAGTTGAAAGAACCTTAGAGTGAACATCTGTATATTCACCACCTCCCTAGATTCTGTAGCAATGTTCTGTTTACTTTATCATATATCTAATTATACATCTGTTCACCTTAATTTTTGATGCATTTCAAAGTGTGTTCTAGTCATTTGTATTCTTTATCCTTAAATAGGTTAGTTTGCATATGATTACTAAAATTTATATTTAATATATCTGTTCATCTCTTTTTGTTATAAAATACACAAATCTTAAGCTACCATTTAATGAATTTTGAGAAATACATATATCTGTGACACTTAAATCAGAAAGATTTTTTTTAAAGAACAAAGCTGAATTCATTACCCATTAAGACCGACCTAAGTTCCATGTGTGAGCAGATTCAAGACAACATATTCTTCTGTAGATATTTACATATCTGGAACTATCTGAGGAGTTGTTTTTGAAACACAGATTCTTCAATTTAGACCATGAGTAAGGAATTCCAAGGTAGAGCCCAGAAATCTGTCTTAAAAACTCTCCAGGTGATTCTGAAAATTAGTTAAATTTATAAATCTCTTTCCTAGGTTAGTGTGCCTCAATTACAACCTCCTTCCTAGACCCTCCTTCTCCCACAAACACTGTTGCAGTCAAATGTATAATGTTGACAATGCATCCAAAAAGGGAAGTCTTATCCTACGTCATCCAACACTCAGCCACAAACCAGGAGACTGAGTTAGGAGAAAGGAGTTCTGTCAGGTTACTGAAGCATAATCCTGAGCCTTGACCACATCCACAACCTCAACTTTTTGAAGAGTCTTTTGTCCAAAATAAATTTGTGAGCCACATAACCTCTTGGACTCATGAAAAGGAATCTGTAGTGTTTTTCTACAGATTTGGCCATGCCGTTGTCATTTAATATATCAATTTTTGTGAGGTTTTTTTTTTTTAAAGGTTCCTGCCTCTCATCATTCTAATATAAGCACATGAAATGGGCAAGATAAAATGAGAGGCCCCCAGGCTGGCCATTCTCAGACTGATTTCCTGAAATGATGAATGATGGTTCAGAAAACTAGTAAGCTACTGTTTTACCCTGATGGGGAATACAGAAGGGTGCCGGGTGCACCAATCTTCTCAGCACCTCTGTGTTCAACAACCCAGAATTTCTTGTATTTTTTTCTATATTAAGCAAAATGATGGGAGTTATACAGTAGCTATATACAAACTGCTCTAGGAGTACAGAGCAGGGGATTTTGTATCTATCTGAGATTTAAAGCACTCGTGGTGGAGGTGGCAGTGGGTAACAGAATACTCTAGGAGAAGGGAAAGGTGTGGGTAAAGGCATCTTGCAGGGAAATACAAGACATGCTTAGAAATACAAACATATGTTTTGATTGAAGTGTAGTGGGTGTGAGAAGGATCAATGAGTAAAGAGGCTGGAAATGTAGATTTGGGCCAGATTATAGCTGGTTTTGAATTTTAAGTCTAAGAGTTTAGGCTTCATTTTATGGGCAATAAGGACCCATTGAGCTAAGTGTGTTATAATCAAAACTGTACTGTAGCAAAATTACTTTGGCTGCAGCTTGAAGGATAAGAGGCAGCATGGACTTAAGACTCAGAAGGCCAAATCTGTGTGTTGCACCAGCCATATATTTTTAGCTGACTGAACTGGGATAAGTCACATAGCTTTCTACACCAGTTTCCTCATTTGCAAAATGGGCATGACAATAGTTATCCTGCAGGGATTTGACATGGATTTGAGATAATGGATTTAGAAGATGAGTACAAAGTCTGGCAGGAAGTGTTCACTGGAAAAAAGGCAACATTGGAGGCAGGAATATTTAAGAGGGTTTCTCAGTAGTTTGAGTAAAAACCATGAGGGCTTGAAGAAAAAGGAAGGAATATTAAAGATAATATAGAAGGAGATTATCTAGATCTTTAAAAAATGTAGGAAATGAAAAATAAAAAATGACATATGTTGCCCTAGCTGGTTGCTAAGTGTTTAGAGCATCAGCCCATGGACTGAAGGGTTCTGGGTTTGATTCTGGCCAAGGGCACATACCTCGGTTGCAGGCTCCATCAAGGCCTTGGTTGGGGTGTGTGCAGGAGGCAACCAATCAATGTGTCTCTCTCACATCGGTGTTTCTCTTTCTCTTTCTTCCACTCTCTCTGAAAAGCAATGGATAAAATATCCTCGGGTGAGGATTTAAAAAAAAATGATATGCTCACAGTTGGTGACAGCAAAGATGAAGATGCCATATCAGAGGCAGGATTACTGAATAAGGAAGATATTTGGCAATTTCAATAAGAAAGATATCACATAGAATTTAGTTTTTCAGCTGGTTATTTCTAGAAATAATATCAATTATAATGGCTAATAAATAAATAACACTTAGCTATCATATAACTCTTCATGGTAGATACTATATCAGTTAGTATATATTATCCCTATTTTAAAAATTAAGAAATCGAGGTAAAGAGAGACTAAGAAAATTGCCCTAGGTCCCATAATTTATAAGTATCTGAACCAGGCATTAATTCTAGGCCGTCTGTCTCTAGAATCAGGGAGCATAATTTCATGTTATACAGAAAGGGTTAACACTCTGAAAGAATTTCTAGATCACTCAGCTTTGCTGAAGAACTGGTCAGACCTGGCTGGTCTACTGTGGAGAACTACGAAGATGTAGCATGTCAATGACTGCTTACTGAAACAGATACAAATTTTAGTGAACAAACTAAGATATTTATCTTTATTTTCTTTAAATCAATTTCAAATCAACAAACAACCTGTGTAACATGGGTTTTAGGTGAAACCAAATCCTGGGGGATTCCTCCAGTCATTAGTCATAAATCCATATTCCATACTGCTGAGGCTTTGTTTGGATCAGCCTACAGAGGCACCTTCAGGCCTAGTGTCTCTGTAGCTACCAGGGCCCCCAGAAGCTTTCCTTGCGTCATCTCCTTTTTATAGCATGTTGGTCCCCCCGCAGGACTGTGCTACAAACAGCTCCCGATACACCTAACCTCTCTCCCCAGTCCAGGCAGATCTCTCTCCCTCTTCCTTACTTGCTGCTGTACTTGGAAGAATTTGCCTCTTCTTTTTTATCATGACACCAAAGATAACTTTTCATTGAATTTGGCTTTTGCAAAAATGAGGAAAATGCCTCCACTTTTAGGTCTGCAAGAACATGGTTCAGGGAAATGTACAGCAAGCAAGGAGATTGAATCAGTAATTTAAATCCACCCTACAAAGAAATGCATGGCTTCACCGGCGAGTCCTACCAAACATTTAATAAGAATTAGCACCAATGCTTCATGAGCTCTTCAATAAATTAGAACAGGATAAAACACTTTCCCAACTCATTCTGAGAGGCCAGTATTACCCTAATTCCAAACACACACAAAAATCACTAAGTAAACTACAGAAAAATATCATCTATGAATATAGATGCAAAACACCTCAATAAAATACTAGCAAATCACATCCAGTAACATTTAAAAAGGATTATGTACCATGACCAAATGAGATTTATCCAAGAAATACAAGGTTGGTTTAACATCTGAAAATCAATTAATGGAATACAGAATGCCAATAGAATAAAGAACAAAAATTACATGATCATCTCAACAAATGCAGAAAAGGCACTTGACAAAATCCACCACTTTGTCATAGTAAGAGCACTTAATAAACTAGAAATTGAATGGATCTTCCTCAACTTGACAAAGGACACCTAAGAAAACCCATAACTACTATCAAACTTAATGATGAGAGACTGGATGCTTTCCCTTTAAGATCAAGAACAAGACAAGGATGTTACTCTTGGCACTTATATTTAACATTTTCTGGAGGTTCTAGCAAGGATAATTGGTTAAGAAAGGCAATAAAAGATATCCTGACTAAAAAGAAAAATTTAAACTCTCTGTATTTGCAGAAGCCATGGTCTTGTGCGTAGAAAATACTGAAAAATCTACTAAAAATGTTAAAGTAAATAAATGAGTTCAGCAAGGGTTCAGGGAACAAGATCGAAATACAAAATTAAATTGTATTTCTATACACTTCAATGAACAGTCTAAAAACAAAATTGAGAAAGCAATTCTATGAAAAAGAATAAAATATTTAGGAATACATTTAGCAAGCACAGTGCAAACTTTACCCTCTCAAAACTAAAAAAAAGTTTTTGAGAGAAAATTATTCAAATAAATCAGAAGATAGCTGATGTTCAGAGATCAGATTTAATATTGTGAAGGTGTCAACACTCCCCAATTTGATCTACAGATTCAACACAAGTCTTATTAAAATCCTAGATGGTTTTTGCTCAGAACTTGACAAGCCGGTCCTAAAATTCATTCAAAGTACCCAGAATCATAAAAAATAAAAAAGATTTTGGAAGAGAAGAACAAAGTTGAAGGGCTCACATATCTTGTTTTTAAAACTTACTACAGAGTTACAGTAATCAAGACAGTTTGGTACTGGCAAAGGACAGACATTTGGATAAATGGAATGGAATTGAAATTCCATAAATAAATCTTTGGGAAAATACGGGCAGGGGGGTGGTGTAAAATTTTCTTCATGATTCCCTATGGAATAATTTTGGAACGACATGACTATGATCAATTGAAATGACTATTTTCCATTTGAAGTTTGGCAATTGAATAATGTCACCACAGAGGAAACAATCAGTGCTGCTCCAGTCCCCTACCTCCCTTCCTCACCTGAGGCCCTGGGTCAACCACCTGGTGAACTCTCTGAAAAGGAAAAACAGCCTATTTAAATACACACTGAGATATTATCTATTCAAATCTCAAATTTTTCTGAAGCTCCAAGGTCCTAGGAGGGTTAGTAAGCTAGAGGATCGCAAACGAATTTCCTCACCCTCTGAAAACAGACCCAGCCAAGTCCCGTGTTACCTAACATTAAACTTTAGAGCAAGACAGACAGTTTGTGAAGAGAAACTGCCTAAGCTCCAGTAATAAAACTATGGTTCAGTCATTACAGTTACTATGAAGTAGCAACTGTTTTAAAGATTATCTCTTGAACCAGAACCAGAGATTAGTATTTTAGGAGAGTTGGGAGGGTTTAGTTAAGATTTAGGAAGATGTAAGGAACATTCAGATTTGAGAGAGCATTAAAAAGGAAAAATGTTCTGCTTAAGAAATGAAGGTGAATTGCTGCCATGACATAGGAGCAGGGATGAGACAAAACCAACCCAATAATTAATCTTACAAAATGTGGGACCGAAGGAAATTAAAGTAAAATGAATACGAGTGGCTTGAGTTTATTTTGGAAGGGAGAACCTATTTAATAATGAGGCAACTGCCCAGACTGAAAAGAAATGTTTGGGGAAAGATGAGGAAAAGTTTATAAAGGCCAAATTTATTAAGCTCTTAAAATATGATCAAGTTGGAGTGAGTTTCAGAAGTTGTGATTATTACAACTGCTTACTACTTCTCTTCATTCTTATCCAGCCAAATCCTGCCAGTTAAAGAGCACACAAACTATTGTAAAGGAATTTAGAGAATCCAAAAGCTTTACTGAATGTCCCCCAAAGCACAATGACTCTAATAAAAATCAGTTTTGCCTACCTTTCAAAGGTCACTTTCATCTCCACGCGTCTGTGAACCACGTATGGAGTTGTACTGAAAAGAAGAGCTGATAAGTTACAAATGTTCTGAAGATATTATAATATTCATCTACAGTAAGGATATATTTCCCACT